CATTACACTTAGTTGTACCTTACAATAGGAAATCAAGGCCCATACAAAACAGAGACAGTCACTGCCATATGAAGAGAAGAGGAGATTGGATTTATACCCCGCCCTTCACTCGGAGTCTCAGAGCGGCTTACAAACTCCTTCCCCCCACACACACACACACAACAGACCCCTTCTGAGGTAGGAATGAAGGGTGCATGCATCATTCATCAAAAGTCCTTGGAGACGATCCCACATTGAACTCACAAGGGGTGGAGGATGTTCACTGGTGCTTCTCCCTTCCAGAGGCACCAGAGTCAGATAAGGGCATTTCCACACTCTGTCAGGGTCAACACCAAGCAGGTCCAAACACATTCTCCTGAAAAGGCTATGTTTTATTGGAATACTGGTCTGTTGCCAAGTGGTACAGGTACGTTGTCAGGAATAACGATTAGTGCTGCATCTAGCTAAGCAAATTAAATCCAAGCGCGCATGGGGGAATTCTCCCAGCAGGATATTACATCATGAACGGGAGACTCACCCCAATCCCTTGAGATCAGAAATATCCACACCCGTAGTGGAATTCAAGCCCTTCCTTCCCTTCAAGGTTATACTGATAGCACTGTCTGGCTGAGCCAGTTCGCACGGGGGGGGCACCTCCCTTATGTTACCCATGGCAGCTAAGCAAAGCAAGCATGTGCGGCTGCGCAAAAGTCAGGGACAAAAGAAAACAAAGAAAGCAAGGCCGCTAGCTGACACACTCGCTGAGAACACGCACTGAGAAAGCAGCACCGGTACCTGCTCTGGAAGCACTCGGTCCTATTCTGCAGCTGCTCCTTGACTGGTGCCCACCCACGGTCTGGACGGGTGGCTGAGCAGGCTCTGTTGTAGTTAATAGGACTGTGACGACAATTAATAAGGGCATTTTGTGTGTTCTGATTTTTTTAAAAAAATATCTACATGGTGCTGTTGAAGCGTTGTGCTTTCACACACACTTTCATTTGGTTCTGCTTAGACTTTCCGATCGCTTTTTCATTTCTGCTCTATTTTTGTTTTAATTTTATTGATTTAAATTGGTAGCTTCATTGCCTTGGATCCCACCTACATTTCCATCAGCGCAAGAAGGGAGGATGATTTCTGCTGATTCTGCCCCCCCCCCCAACTAAAGGTAAAGGTAAATGTTTTCCTTGCTCAAAAGCTAGTCGAAACTGACTCTAGGGGGCATTGCTCATCTCCGTTTCAAAGCCGAAGATCCAGCGCTGTCCGAAGACGTTTCCATGGTCATGTGGCTGGCATGACTAAATGCCGAGGTGCACAGAACGCTGTTACCTTCCCACCAAAGTGGTACCTATTTATCTACTTGCAATTTCTTGCTCTTGAACTGCTAGGTTGGCAGGAGCTGTGGCCAGAGACAGGAGTTCACTCCGCCATGCAGCACTCGGGACTTGAACTACAGACCTTCTGGTCTGCAGCTCAGCATCCTAACCTCTGAGCCACTGCACCCCCTCCCCCCAAACTGGAGACCCCTAATTCCACTTTAAGCTATTCCTGGGTGTCCTGTGATTATCTGCCCTCCTTGTGTGCCCATGGAACTCTAGGTAGAATCCAATCCATTATTATCTACTCTGTAGACAGGCTAAAAACTGGCTTTGAGCAGTCTTAAATAAGATTATGTGTCTTTAAAGGTGGGGTTAGAGGAGACAATAAGAAAAGAAATTGTGCACTTCCGTGAAGATTTTATTTACATGTTTGTGAAGCTTAAGTAAGATGTCCCATTAACAAATGCTGCTGGGCCATTCCTGCAAAGACTTCGATTTCCTTTTTCGAGGAGAGGCTGTGGCTCAGTGGTAGAGCGTCTGCTTGGCATGCGGAAGGTCCCAGGTTCAATCCCCGGCAGCATCTCCACTTAAAGGACCAGGCAGGAGGAGATGTGGAAGACCTCTCAGCCTGAGACGCCCTGGAGAGTTGCTGCCAGTCTGAGGACGCAATACTGACTTTGATCGACCGGGGTCAGGTTCAGTAGAAGGCGGCTTCTTCATATGTTCACTCTAGAGAGAGGAGACCCACGTCCAGCCCCGGGATATTGCATGCTGTCAGGTATATTCAGTCGGCTTTGTCTATCCAGGCACGCCTTGAGACACTGTGTCCGATGTGTAGAGATGGGTGAAGGGAGGAATTGCAGCACAAACAGGTCAGTATCACTCCACTGAGGACTGCAAGGCAAGGCCCACTGATAATCACCTACAGGTTGTGAGGCATGAGCAGAGTTCTGCAGATCTTACAAGTTTAACTTAGCACTTGCAAAAGCTTCTGTGTTAACAGTTCTGTGCTGGTTGAATCATCGTTGCATGAAGAGAAGGGTAGGAGTTTATTTGGCTGATATCAGGATCTTATTTTCTCTTCACTGACGGTGCCATCTGAAGCTGAGTTACACCTTTCTAAACCCATTGAAGTCCATGGATCTTGAAGGTGGTCATTCTGCACAGGACTTAAAAGACTGGTTCTGATTTAGAAGTCTGGTTGTGCTATTCTTTTTCAAACCAAAGCAGCACATTTTAGATTTCTATATCCTGGCTACAAGCAACATGCCAGCCACATCTTGTATTCTTTTCAGACACATTTTTACAGTTCATACCTGTGTAGGAAGCTGCTTCTCTGTGCCTTTTGAACTTTTCAGACTGCTGGGGGAAGTGGAATTGTCTTGTGTTTATGTATACTGGATGAAAGGGAGGAGCTGTCAGAAACTTGGTTAAATCAGTTCTCAACAACAGCCAGTCTGAAGAAAACTAACTTTATTGAGATTGTTGATAGATACCATTCTGGACACTTCTTTGTTAGAACTAAAGATTATCACACGAAGGTTACAGATCTAGTGGTGGTTTCAAACAGCAGCGATAAGAGATCAGGACCCAATCACCTTATGGTATTTTACCCACCAGAACTAACAGCCAACTACCCCCCCCCACTAAACACGTATTCCTCTGGAGCATCCCTCCCACCAGAACTAACAGTTGCTTATCCCCCCCCCCTTAGACACGTAGCCTCTGTCTACCAGGAGCAGCACATTCTGTGTACAGCAATCTTTGTTCTGTGAAATTTAATGCACAGGGCCCCATAATGGATATGTCTGCAGATTACAATATGTCATGTAATAGCCTACAATCAATTAGCAAGGTAGTAAAACAGTCTGATCTGCCAAATTATCCTTGTAAGTCATAAACGATATACAAACGGGTATTGTTTCCGCCTGCACCAAGAAACAGTCCTGCTGTCTCCAGTAACAAAGCAACTGGGGATGTCTTCAGCTTCATTAACGGTAGAAAAGCTGAATCAGTGGCAGTTTTTCAAAGTTTCTCAAACCACCTTGTCAAACAGAGGATGAAATACTAGAAAGCTGGACCCCTCTTTTGCTCCAGGGCCTTCGTATTACTACAGGGCACCCGGGGAGGGCAGAAGAGGGGGATAATCCAGGTACTTCCAGGACTGCTTAAGAAAAGCTCCTGTCCTTACGAAGAAGAAACCTCTTTGTGCTTAACCTTCCAGGTAGAGAGCCTGGGGCATAATTCGATTAAATAGATATGATAAAACCAAAGAAGCTTTCACTGTGTGCAAACAGTAAGATCATGTCAGTTCAATGGAAACGCTGTATGCAGTAATGGCCATTAACATAAGAACCTAAGAGAGAAGCCCATATTGGATCAGGCCAATGGCCCATCCAGTCCAACACTCTGTGTCACACAGTGGCTGAAAATACCAGGTGCCATCAGGAGGTCCAGCAGTGGGGCCAGGACACTATAAGCCCTCCCACTGCCCCCCAAGAATACAGTGCATCACCTGCCCCAGCCTGTGAGTTCCTATCTATACCTTATGGCTAATAGCCACTGATGGACCTCTGCTCCATATGTTGATCCAGTTCCCTCTTGAAGCTGTCCATGCTTGTAGCCGCCGCCACCTCCTGTGGCAGTGAATTCCATGTGTTAATCACTCTTTGGGTGAAGAAGTACTTCCTTTTATCTGTATTTATTTTAGACCCCTTCACTTCTGCAGGAGTATATCGCATACCATGCAGCTGTGGACAGGTTTACATCGGGACCACACAGCGTAGCATTCAGACAAGAATAAGAGAATGTGAAAGACACTGCAGACTTGGCCAACCTGAAAAATCAGCAGTGGCTGAACACAGCCTAACTCAAACAGGACACAGTATTTTGTTCCAAGACACTGAAAGGCTGGACGACACTTCCAATTACCATGTCAGATTACACAGGGAAGCCATTGAAATTAATAAACATAAACACAATTTCAACAGGAAAGAAGAGGGTTTAAAAATAAATAGGGCACGGTTTCCTGTCCTGAAAAACACAAAAGGTTCTACATCTGACAATAGCACTACAGATAAGATTAGAATCCACATGCAAAAGAACTTCCTCAGGAAACAATCCATATACAACAGAACCTCTTCAGGAAAGCTCCTCCATTAGCATGTTCACAGCCTGGGGAACTCGTTTGAGATAATGACTCCACCCTACCCCACCTTCCTAAGTAGATATAAATTACCTGCCTGCCATTTTTCTTCTCACCATCTTTCTGTGTTATACCTCTGAGGATGCCAGTCACAGCTACTGGCGAAACCTCAGGTCCTACAATGCCAAGACCACGGCCATACAGCCCGGAAAATTCTTACGTTCATTCTTACATGAAGGTTCATTGAGGTGCTTTAGTTTTGAAACGAGAAGCCACTTACTTGAAATCACCCTGTGTGTGAAAACCTACCATGTTGAAAGCAGGCTAGCATATGAGTTTGCTTTCAATAGAGGACTGTACCATCACAATGTCAATGTAGTGAGTATTAATCTAACTGGGAGATTGTTTTGACTTTTATAAAATGTGGCTGGCTACTCTGGGGAACAGTTCCAAAAGAATGTTCTTGAACAAGCATTTATCAAGTCTGCAACTTTTCTGGTGAATATGTAAAACCTTCCTTTAACCTGCTGTGTCCATTTAATTGTTGCCTCCCCTTTTAGACCGTTGAAAACTGTGTGTGCATTTTAAGGAACCTCTCATATCGACTCGCTGCAGAAACAGCTCAGGGACAGCAAACCGGGACTGATGAACTCGATGGCTTACTTTGTGGCGATGCCAATGGAAAAGACGTGGAAAGTTCTGGATGCTGGGGCAAGAAGAAGAAGAAAAAGAAATCACAAGATCAGGTATGAAAGGTTGACTTGGGGTGGGAAGACATTAGTGCCTGTACTGTGGAGAAACAAATTGTGCAGCAAATAAAGGGGGGGGGGTGTTCTGATCAGATGTCATGGTCTTGAGCTGTCATTTTTTAATGTTACTACAACTTCTTTCTCTCATATGTTTTGTGAATATATCATTTAAAACTACCTTACTGGAAATATTTGATAGGACTGGGCACCACTGCTAAGAACGTTTTGTAAGACTTTCCAGAATAATTAAAGCACTGTGTGCTCACTGAATGTGCATCGAAGGAAGTAGGATTTCTCTTGCAGAGATGGATCGTTTCTTTATTTACAAAATTCATACCCCTGCCTTCTGCCCTCATAAGGGCCACCTAGGTGGCTAACAAATTAAAAAAAAACATACATAATAAAATTACATCTTTTGTTCTTCAGTCACACACTCAAATCCAACACTCTATGGACCATATCACGCCAGGCCCTCCTGTCTTCCGCCGTCCACCAGAGTTTGCTCTATTTCATGTTCGTTGCATCTATGACACTGTCTAACCATCTCATCCGTTGCCATCCCCGTCTTCTTTGACCTTCAGTCTTTCCCAGCATCAGGGTCTTTTCCAGTGAGTGCTCCCTTCTCATTGGGTAGCCAAAGTATTTGAGCTTCAGCTTCATTATCTGGCCTTCCAGGGAACAGTCAGGGTTGATTTCCTTTAGGGTTAGGGTTAGGATTGACTGATTTGATCTCCTTGCAATCCAAGGGACTTTCAAGAGTTTTCTCCAGCACCATAATTCAAAATAATCTATTCTTTGGTGCTCGGCCTTCCTTATAGTCCAACTCTCGCAGCCATACAGTACTACTGGGAATACCATTGCTTTGACCATACGGACTTTTGTTGGCAGGGTGATGTCTCTACTTTTTATTATGCTGTCAAGGTTTGCCATTGCTTTCCTCCCAAGGAGCAGGCGCCTTTTAATTTCATGGCTGCAGTCACCATCTGCATCCCAGGAACATGAAGTCTGTCACTGCTTCCATGACTTCTCCTTCTATTTGCCAAGGAGTAATGGGGTCGGATGCCATGATCTTAGTTTTTTTGATGTTGAGTTTCAAGCCAACCTTTCCACTCTCCCCTTTTATTATCAGCAAGAGACTCTTTAGGTCCTCTTCACTTTCTGCCATTAGAGTGGTATCGTCTGCATATCTGAGGTTGTTGATGTTTTCCCCAGCAATCTTAATTCCAGCTTCTGAATCATCCAGGCCAGCATTTCACATGATGTACTCTACATATATATTAAATAAGCGAGGTGACAATATACATCCTTGTCGTACTCCTTTTCCTATGCTAAACCAATCAGTTGTTCCATATCCGGTTCTAACTGTCGCTTCTTGGCCCTTATGCAGGTTTCTCAAGAGACATGTGCTGTGGTCTGGTACTCCCATCTCTTTAAGGACTTGCCATAGTTTGTTGTGATCCACACAGTCAAAGGCTTTTTTTTAAAAAAAAAACCTCTTTATTAGGATATCACAATAAGTAAACCTATAATTCATGTAACAAGTTATCTCATATCCTTTTTTCTTCCATATAGCCCCCCCTTCTGACTTCCCACAGTGCTCAAACTTCCAGTTCTCTCTTAGCTCACCCCCTTTCCCAATTCTTTAATATTATATATTTATTACAGGTAACAAATCTCTTTATCTCTAAATCTATATATGTTTACACTTAATCTAAATAACCCTCCATCTTAATAATTGTCTAAGCAAAATAAATTGTTTTTAACATCCCAGTATTTCTTCATATAGTCTTTGAAGTCCTTCCAATCTGCAAAAAAGTCTTCTGCTTCTTGATTTTTAAGCTTTCTTGTCATTTTGTCCATTTCAACCATAAAAAGTAACTTTTTTAACCACTCCCAAATATCAGGAGTTTTTTCTTGCTTCCAACATTGAGCGTAAGTCATTCTAGCAGTTGTAATCATATACCACATTAAAGTCCATTTTGCAATATTAACTTCTTCCATTCTAAGTCCCAGAAGAAACACTTCCAGTTCCTTCTTAATTTTACATTTCATGATTTTTTCCATCTCTGAATGGACCTCGGCCCAGAAACCTTTTGCTTTTTCACATGTCCACCACATATGGTAAAAAGAACCTTCTTTTTTCTTACATTTCCAACATTTGTTTGATATATTACTACTTATATTTGCTATCTTTTTTGGTGTCATATACCATCTATACATCATCTTATAGCAATTCTCTCTTAAATTATTACATGTTGAAATTTTAATTGCATCACACAATCAAAGGCTTTAGCATAGTAAATGAAGCAGAAGTAGGTGTTTTTCTGATACTCCCTTGCTTTCTCCATAATCCAGTGAATGTTGGCAATCTGATCTCTAGTTCCTCTACCTCTTCGAAACACAGCTTGTACTTCTGGCAGTTCTCTATCCACGTACTGCTGAAGTCTAGCTTGTAGAATCTTGAGTATGACCTTGCTAGTGTGTGAAATGAGTGTAATTGTGTGATAGTTTGAACATTCTTTGGCATTGCCCTTCTTTGGGATTGGAATGTAAACTGACCTTTTCCAATCCTGTGGCCACTGTTGCATTTTCCAAATTTGCTGGCATATTGAGTGCAACACTAACAGCATCATCTTTTAGGACTTCGAGTAGCTCAGCTGGGATACCATCACCCCCACTAGCTTTGTGGTAAGTAATGCTTTCTAAGGCCCATTGTCTGGCTTGAGGCCAGCAATCATACCATCGTGGTTGTCAAGGACACTGAGGTCCTTCTGCATAGTTCCTCTGTGTATTCTTGCCACCTCTTCCTACTCTCTCCTGCTTCTGTTAGATCCCTACCATATTTGATCTTTGCACGGAACGTTCCCTTGATTTCTCCAATTTTCTTAAAGAGATCTCTAGTCCTTCCCATTCTATTCTTTTCCTCTATTACTTTGCATTGTTCATTCAGGAAGGCCTCCTTATCTCTCCTTTCTGTTCTCTGGAAATCTGCATTCAGTTGAGTAAATCTTTCCTTTTCTCTTTTGCCTTTTTTTCTGTTTTAGTTTCCACGCATTGTAACTAATAAAACGTCCTCTTATATATGCCTTAAAGGTGTCCCATATTATTTCCAGAGATGTATCCACGGTCGTGTTTACCTGAAAAATTCTATAATTTCTTTCTTACATTGTTGCACAAACACTGACTCTCTAAGCAAACCTGTATTTACAGACATCCTGTTTTTCTTATGTTCTTCCCTTAATGATACAGATACAGGGTTATGATCTGCAAATGTGCTTGGCATTATCTCACTTTCCACCACTTCCCTGACCATATTTGTTGACATCCATATCATGTCAGTTCTTGACCACGAATCATGACGTGGTGAGTAGTACGTGAAATCTTTTTTATTTAAGTTTCTTACCCTCCAAATATCCATTAAGTTATATTCTTCCACTATCTATACAAAGCTGCTTGGCAACGTTCCACCCGATCTATACCTTTTTCTCTTATTTTTCCTATCCATTGCTACATCCGTCACCGACTTAAAGTCTCCTAGGATATACACGTCATCTACTTCCACTGACTTTAGAACTGTTTGTACTTCTTTAAAGAATTTTTCCTGTTTTTGATTGGGCGCGTAAATATTAATTATTAACATTTTTCCCCCTTCTTACAATTGTAATGGCTACTATCCTCCCATCTTTAGAGCTAAATACGAATTCTGGATTTAATTTTCCATTTACATATATCACAACACCTCTTTTTTTTTCTTCTGCAGAAGCTACAAATAGTTCCCCCAACTTTTTGTGTTCTAGGTATTTCACATCCTCTTTTTTGATATGTGTTTCCTGCAAACAAATTATTTCTGCTTTTATTTTTTCCAATTGATGAAATGTCTTTCTTCTCTTTTGTGGACTATTTAATCCATTTATGTTTATTGATAAAATATTACAGTTTTTATAGCGTCTCACTTTCATGTTTAATGCTTCTTCCCTCTGTTTTTATATTTGAATCTAGTTAGAATTTGGTATGTAGCTTTATTAGCTTTCGATTTGTTCTTTTTTGTTGGAGTTTTTTTCTCTTTGCTCTGTTTACCTTGCACAGCCTCTTCTTCATCTTCTTCTTCCTCTTCCATTTCCTCTTCTTTCTCTTCCTTTTCTTCCTCGTCTTCTTGTGTATCTTCCTTTTGATGTCCTAGATCTTCACCATACTTTTCCAAAAAATATTCAATTTTAAAAACCGAATCCATTCTGTGTCTTTGGCCTTTAAGTGTGAAGAGCACCCCCTCTGGAATTAGCCATCTAAAGGTGATTCTATTGTCTTTTAACAGATTTATTAACGTGGTATATGGCTGCCTTCTTTCTCTAACTCTCCACGGGACATCTTTCAGAAATATTACTTCTTCTCCTTGAATTATTACTTTCATCTCATTCGCCGCTCTCAAGATTTTTTCCTTTAAATCTTTTCTGTAAAATTTTATGTGAACTTCTCTCGGTTCTTTATATTTTTTGGCAAAAGCTGGATTTCTTCTGAATATCGCCTCTATCCCATCCTCTAGTTCTTCTTTGGTTGCTACTTTTAACTTTTCCACTATGTTAGCTGTTATTTCTTCCTTGAGATTTTTGTCTATGGATTCTGCTATATTCTGACACCTTATAATCAGCGATGCTTTTTCCATCTCCAAATTTATCAAGGTGTCCTCCATTCTCTCACACTTACTTCTCAGCTCTTGTGCATCCAAATCTAGGTCTCTCACTTTTTCCTTTAATTTTCCCTGCTTGGTAGAGATATTTGTGATTTCTTGTTTGTTGTTTTGAACTTGTTGTTTAAGTTCTTCAGTTTCATTCTTAATTTGTGCCATCAACATCCATTTTTAAACTTATAGGTTTAATTTCCTTCTTTATTAATGCAGGCAAAGTATTCTCCATCGCCTGCTTCATGGCTTGCGCCACTGCTTGCGTCACACTTTCTTGTATGGTTTTGTTTATTTCCTTCATTGTGGCTTGAGGAATAGC